CCGGATTTCATCGAATTTTTGGGGATAAGTCAGAAAGGGACTAACTTAGAACTGATTAAATTTTGGTGACATTCCGAATTACCGTCTGGTTATTATTATTATTATCATTATTTAATCAATAAATTTACAATCCAAGTTCGGTACACAAATCTACGGTAAACGTGTGCCACATTTCACTATCTCCCATTTTATTGTTATTGTTACCTCCGCCAAGGAGGTTATGTTTTTGACGGCGTTGGTTTGTTTGTTTGTTAGCAACGTAGCTCTAAAAGTGCTGGCCGGATTTCATCGAAATTTTGGGGACAAGTCAGAAAAGGACTAACTTAGAACTGATTAAATTTTGGTGACTCCGAATTACCGTCTGGACGCAGCAGCGGTGTAAGTACATTATATACACACCTTGGCAGAGGTCTGCACTCTCTGAGTGCTTTTCTAGTTATTATCATTATTATTATCATCACTATTATTATTATTATTATTATCATTATTATTATTATTATTATTATTATTATCATTATGAAGATGATAATGATTATCATTATTATTATTATACTTATATTGCTATTGCTTATACATTTATCATTATCATTATCATAATTACTATCACCATTATCAACATTATCATTATTGCTGTTACCACTATCGCTATTATTATTATTACTGCTATTATCATTAACATCATTATTATCACTTTTATCATTCTAATTCCCATTACCATTCTTCTTATTATCAGAATTATCATGTGCTTATACAATAACAATAAAAAAAAACAGATAATGATGATAATAATGATAACTGCTATTATCATTACCATTACTAATTTCATTATTACTATAATCATTACCACCATCGCTATCATCATTAATATTATTGTAAATGTGTTTATTCATTAATTCAGATCCTTTATCCAATCAACACCAAATACATTATATTCATCTATTCATGCATATGATTATCAATGCATACAGTGATTCGTTTATACATTAGTATATTGGTTTATAATGATGCAAACTGATGCAATCATGTGATTAAATGACCTTCCTCTGTTGATAAATATTCATAAAAAACTTTTCTTTTGCTCATATACTTTTAATCACATTACATATATATACTTATATACATGCACATATATAAACGCACACACAAACACACACACACAAACACACACACAAACAAACACACACACACACACACAAACACATACAAGCACACATAAACACACACACACAAACACACACACACACACAAACACACACACACAAACACACACAAATACACAACAAACACACATAAACACACAAACACACAAACAAACACAAACAAACACACACACACACACACACAGAAACCCGCACCCTCTCGCATTAGTATATTGGTTTATAATGATGCAAACTGATGCAATCATATGATTAAATGACCTTCCTCTGTTGATAAATATTCATAAAAAACTTTTCTTTTGCTCATATACTTTAAATCACATTACATATATATACTTATATACATGCACATATATAAACGCACACACAAACACACACACACAAACACACACACAAACAAACACACACACACACACAAACACATACAAGCACACATAAACACACACACACAAACACACACACACACACAAACACACACACACAAACACACACAAATACACAACAAACACACATAAACACACAAACACACACACACACACAAACAAACACACACACACATACGCAAACAGACACACACAAACAAACAAACACACACACAAACACACACACAAACACACACGCAAAAACAAACACACACACACACACACACAAACACACACGCAAAAACAAACACACACACACAAACACACACACACACAAACACACACGCAAAAACAAACACACACACACAAACAAACACAAACACACAAACAAACAAACACAAACAAACACAAACAAACACACACACACACACACACAGAAACCCGCGCCCTCTCGCAAGGCCCGCGGCGCCGCCCTGCCTACCTCGAGGGCGGCGTGCAGCACCTGGCGCGCGCCCTGCCACCACGTGATCGTCGGGGGAGGTCGTGCCCCGATGACCTCGCACGTGACCTCGTACTCCTGCCCGGCGCGGAGGAAGGGGGGCGGGGAGGTGATCGTCACGCTGAGGGGGGGCACTGGAGGGGGGTTGGGGGTATGGTGGGGAGAGTTGGGGTGGGGTGTGGGTGGGGGAAGGGGGGGTGAGTGTCATTAGAGGTGGGTTATATTAGGGTTCGTGTCATGGGGGGGGGGGAGGTTAGGTGGGTCAAGGTGGGTTGGATGGGTTCGATATAGGGGGGGGGGGATGGTATGGGATGATAGGGAGGGGAAGGGAGGAGGGGGGGAGAAAGGAAGCGTTGGTAAAATTTCATTTCATTTGAGTTTTTCTTCTTTTTCGTCTCTCTTACTTTTTTCATATTTCTCCCTGCCCCTGTCTCTTTTTTGTCTGTTTCTCTTTCGCGAAAAGATACTTTCTGGAATTTGTA